AATTTTATTGCCATAGATCAGGTAATTCTGAGTGTGTTTCTGCTTATTTTTCCAATATCGCTGGGAAGATTTCTAAACGATACTTTGAATACTGTCACGTTCGCCGGTTGGTGACCGTTAATGCTCGAGTTTTTCTTCTCGTGTCTTAACAATTATTTTGTCGAATGGTCACGAAACGAAGAAATCGTGGAGTCCACTATGCGTAACAATAGTATACATTTCTTTCATCACTTTTCATAATATCAAAGAATGCTTCAATTCTTCTTTCAAATGAGTAAATTCTTTTGAATCAAAATTCAGCGAGATGTTTATAATGTTATAATGTTATAATGTTTATAATGTTTTTCGTTATAGGAATATTTTTTTTCGACAACGACATACTCGTATTTATAGTTACAGTATTTATTTTAAAGAAATGTCAGATTTAAATTTCTATTTATAGAAAGAATGGAAAAAGTATAAATTATACAAAATAAAATATTTTCTGTATTACGAACACAAATTCTTTGTTTTAAAACCACAATTTCTCTTTTTTAAAACACAAATTATCTGCTTTCAAAAATACAAATTCTCTGTTTTAAAAACTCAAATTCTCTGCTCTAAAAACACAAAAATTATATAAGAAATTATATAAGAAAATATTTTGCGTTGTTAAGGATGTACAATTGTTCACTTGCTGAGTTGATGGTGAGGAGAGTACGCTAGTGTTCTACATTGATAATACCTAATATATGAAAAATAAGAATGGCTAATTTATGATTTATTAAAATTAAATGATTGCTAATTTTTAATTATGAATCATAATATTAATATTCTATTATTAGAAAATGCATAATTTAATGTTTTATGTTCAACGATTATATCGATAACTTGGCAACGTTGCATTCTGAAAATGAGGTTAGCATTCCTACTCGAGTTCCACAATAGTAATTGACAGTTAAGGTTAAAATATTTCATACGTGTTTTACCGTAAATACATAACAATGGGTTATAAACAATCACATATATATTCAATCATCACACATTTGTCACAGGATGAAACAAGCCGCAATCTAACGTAATGTCGAAAGTTAACAGCGTTGCCAAGTTTTCCACGTATATTTCTTTAGATACTCAAATAGGCATGCTGTCAGCTTTTTGCTTGTATACAAATAAATTACACGGTGAATAGAGTTAAAATTCTTGCAAGTATGTAAAATGATTTGTTTTAACTATTTATATGTTTTTTATGTGGATCGAAGCATTTTAAAAGTAAGTAATTATGTAATATATCAATCATTCAATGCATATGTCATGACACCATACATAAAACTCTAACTTTAGCTCTTTCTTTTTTAAAAATTATATGGTCAATTGATTTGAAATTAATACAGTATTAGTTTCATTTTTAATAATATTCTGTATAGTTTTTAGATAGATCGAAGCATTTTGATTTTTCGATCGTACCTCCTGAAAGCAAAGAATTTGTTTCATCAAAGCACAGTCAAGTCCGAAAGTTAAATCCAAAAATCCAGTTAGATTTTTATTGGTGAACTTCGTTTATTAATAATTTTTTTAACGAATAAGGAGCGACAGCTAAAACCTTTTTTTTTTTTAATAATGGAGGGGAAATGCCTGATACATACCCCGGGTGTCGGGGGAGAGCCCGGGATTATGTGGGGTTTGCATCCACTAAAACCCCTTCAGGTGTCCTAACCGGGCCATAGCTGAGAGACTTTCAGGAACGCATGCAATATACTTCTGGGAGCCCCTCTGACCAATCGGCTGAGGCCGAATCTATTCCGCCCGGGATCGTCGGTAAGGACGGCCCCGGGTGTAGACTGCCCGAATCGGACGCGGAGGGAGACACCATTCCCCGCCCTCCACCCACCCGGTTGTTGATGGGGGGCGGGAGTTGAAGGTCCCGATCCTCGCCAGAATTCTAGTCCCCCAAGGAATGCCAAATTATTTATTTGGCGTCTCATCCTCATGATACACCGCGCAGCCCTACGCGAGAGGGGAGAGGCCCCGACCCTCACCCAATCGCCTTGATGGAGCAAACCCTGGGGCCCCCACCCTGTACACGCGCGCGAAGGATTATTCCCGGACCGGCGGCGGTGCGCCCCGAGACGTCGCGACCCGCCGCCGCTTTACGGTCCCAGACGCGGGGCCGTCCGCGATAGTGAGAGAGGAGGGGCCATTGACTCTGCCTCCCCCGTGCACATCCTCTTCGTCCACCTCATCTTCTTCCTCCTCTTCCAATATTGGGGAGGGAGGGCGCCGCCGTTTTCACCCAAAGAAACGATCCCGGCGGCGCGAGCGTGGGGCTGGAGGGTCGGGGCACGAGCGGCCCGGCTGGAGCCGAGCGGTTCCCTCTCGCCTATTTCCCTCTCCTCTAGCACTATCATTGACATCGCCTCTACCCAGCGGCGGAAGAGGGCCGCCATCCCTCGGGGCCCTCTCCCTCGCTCTCTCGGCCTTCTCCTTCCGCAACATAACCTGTTCGCAAAAGGAGGAGAATGCCATCCAGGCGCTCTCCCGGCCGATCATCGCCCTAACGGCCGGCAGGGAGAGATCGCCCCCTATTTCACGAATCAGGATACCGCGCTCATTTGCCCAGACCAGGCAAGCCTTATGCGTGTGTTGAGTGATGTCCCGGCCTCCGTTGCAATGGAAGCAGCGCGCAGTCGGCTCCTTTCCAATTCGATGCAGGTACTTCCAGAAAGTGTGTTCGGTGAGCACTTGCGTCATGCGGTATGAAAGCCCGCCCCATCCCCTACCTATCCATTTCTCCAGGCAGGGGAGGATGGCCTCTATGGTCCGAGCGCCCGTTGTCGGCGGGTTGTTCTCGAAAACGGTACGCCACTCCCGAAAGACTCGCCGACGGGCTTCCCCTCTCAGGTGGTCAACAGCCCTCGGGGGTTACCCTTCCCCCCGTAGCCGAATGGCCTTCACTCTGGTGTAAGTGTCCACCAGGGCGTCAGCTACGTACTCGATAGGGGGGAATCCCACGCGAGGACCACGGCGGTCGCATACGACACTGTCCTGTAGGATTCTACAGATCTTTAGAGTCAGCCGTTGCACGCTGTCTCTGATGCGACGATTGGCCAGGGCCTCCCCGCTCCATACCGGGGCCCCATAGTAGGGCGGACAGGACGGCGTACATATACTCCCGCCTGACCGACGCACTCGAAGATTGGGCATGAGGCGGAGCAGAGCATCCGCCCGGCTGCCCAATCGCAGGGCTAGTCAGTCGAAATACTCGACAAAGCCTCAGCGATCATCCAGGGCCCAGGATGTTTGGTCCCATTGGGATACGGACTTCGTCCACCACGATTAACGCCTGAGAGAGTTTCCGTTTTGGCGGGGGCCACTCTCAGGCCCAATTCCTTTATGGAGCCGACACACATGCCACAGTAACGTTCGCCTTACTCACTGCCTTTTCTCAGATCGTACGTTTCCCCGGCCACCACTAGCGTGTCGTCTGCGTAGCAGACGACATGGCAGCAGGGAGGGAGGGCCGCATGGAGAACCGAGTTGTATGCGACGTTCCAGAATAGGGGGCCAAGCACGGACTCCTGTGGAAACCGCACGACGTGTCCCTCCGCTGCTGGAGTCCCTGTTTGTTGTGGAACTCCAGCTGCCTGTCTCGGAAATAGTCCTCTACAATGGCCACCAGGTAGGGGACAGAAGGTGATGTTCTCTCATCGCCCCCACTACCTGACCCTACGGCACACTGTTGAAGGCGTTGGCGATGTCGAGTGACACCGCCAACGCCACTCCCCCGCCCGCGGTCACCTGCTCCGACAGGGCACGGACCTGCCTAATACAGGGTGGGCCATCTATTGGTACGTTTTTAAAAATGCGATCAAATGAGCATACATTGATATTTTTTATTAATTTTTTTTTTGTTGTGAAGCTAAAAGTATCCGCGTCAAGAATGAAAAACGATTTCGTTCATGTGGCTCCCTCTACTGGCCTTACAGTATGCCATTCGGTCACCCCAATTATTAATGACATTTTGGACTACCTCGGCGTCGAGTTGAAGTCGTCGGATTCTGTCTCACACTTTGGGCCACAGCCTCAATATTCTCGGGTGTGCGCACTGTCCGAGCTCTGGGACCACTTCTGTCATCCACTAACATCCCTTTCTCACGAACTTTCCTCACCAATTTGCGTATAGCTCCTTCGGTGGGTGCTCACGACCCATATTTCTTTTCAAAATTCGTACAGTTTCGGCGACACAGCACTGACTTTGAAAATAAGTTTTTAAAATTTCAAAACGCTCTTCAAGAGAAAACATGTTGTTTCGTGCCGCGGACGGTATGACTAATAAACTGTCAAAATTTCGGGTCTGTAGCTCGTTCGGTGTTGCCATACGACGAAATTCAAAAACGTACCAATAGATGGCCCACCCTATAGCATCTACCGTAGATAGTCCCTCTCGGAAGCCGTATTGATCGCGGGACAGGTCAGGACCATCCCGGCACAGATGCCGGACGATGTGGGCAGTGATGATACGCTCCAGCAGTTTGCCCGCATCGTCCAGCAGGAAAATTGGCCTATAAGCGGAGGGACTCTCCGCCTTTACGCAGAATGACAAGCCGGGCCTTCTTCCACAATTTGGGAAAGCTTCCCTCTCTGAGGCAGCTCGTGTAAAGCTGTCGTGTGGAGGTGTTCTCCGATGAAGGGGACCGCGGCGAGCCAGACCCTTCCGTGGACGCCGTCGGGTCCAGGCATCCGCGGCCTATCCCTCAGCCGGGCGAAGGCCTTCCCCATCTCCTCGCCGGTGACGCTCAGCTCCTCCGTCCATCCCGACAGGGGGCCAGCCCTCCCCGGAATGTCTCTTTCCTTAGGAAAGAGCGTCCTCGGGGAACCGAGCATCCAGGATTTCCGCTATCGGGAGCGCCCACGGACGAAGCTTCTTCGTCACTACCTTGTAGGGCCTTCCCCACGGGTCCCTGTCCAGAGAGGAGACAAGCTCCCACTAGGCGTCAGCCTTCGCCTTTCTTATGGCCGCCCTAAGGGCTCCTTGCATCTCGGAGTGCCCCGGCGGCCGCTTCCTTCTCTTCGTCGGTGCCCCGCCGCCTGCGACTGTACGATTTTCTGGCAGCCACGGCGACCCGACGTAGTACAACTAGCTTCTCGGACCACCAATAGGTTGCCCTCCCCGCCATCGGGCGGCAGCGGGGCATCGACGCGTCGCACGTGCGCGACATAACGCTCCCCTCCTCCACCGTGTTGGCCGGGTTGCGCTCCAGCCAGGTGGAGTAGATAAGGTTCACCTCGAGAGCGCCGAGGTCCAGCTTTCGCAGGGCCCATTGACGTTCCTCCTTCTCTCGGCAGCGTCTACGCGACACCTCCGCGGGGATGGACACCAGCTCCATGCGGATCAGGCGATGATCTGACAGCCCAGGAAGCCGGTGTCCACGTGCCATCCTTTGATCTTAAGGGCCGTCGCGGGTCGACGTCAGGTCGACGATGGACTTCCCCCGGGCCCCCACGAAGGTGCTGGCACGGCCTCTGTTGAACAGAACGAGGCCGTGCTTCGCCGCCCACAGCAGGGTGCTGTCGCCTCTAAAGTCAGTGGATGGGAAACCCCAACGCGTGGACGTTGAAGTCCCCACCCACCAGTGTCGGCCTGGGGGAGCGCTGGCGTATATGCTCCCCCAGAGACTCCAGAGCGTCCTCGAATTCCCTCCTGCCTAAGCGAGGAGGGAAGTAGTACCCCGTAACGTCGATGGGCCTCCACTCCACAAGTGTGAACTCCTCCCCCGCCGATATGGGGATCATCGGAGGGATATCGCGCGCGTGCTGGCAGACCACCCGACCCAGAGAGTTCCTTGACGGGGGGGGAGGGGCTAAAACCTGTTGAAAGTCACTCAGAGTCATGACAACTTATGTCAAGGTCAAAATTATCGGGTAGTAAATATGTCTTCATCAATATATTTACCAATTTTTTTATATTTTTAACATACGCTTTTTTTTATTATTCATGTAGAATCAATTTATGGTTTCGGTAATTATACTGATTAGGGGTATTGCTCTGATGACCTTGACCCTGACACATCCTTATGACCTTGTCAAGGTCATAATCTTGAATGACCTTCAGAAGGTTTTAATTGGCGGTCATTATTTATTAAAAAGTTATGAACAAAAAAGTTCGAAAGATAAGCATTATTTCTGCATTATTTCTGCTATATATGCAATACTACTATTCTACAAAGGTTGTGACTTTCAACACAAAGTGACTCTCCTCCTGCAAAATGGACGACTCATCTCCGACTCTCATCCCTCCTCCCCCTGTAAAATGGTAAGGTAAGAGAGAGGTGAAAGTCGGAGATGAGAGTCGAGCGCCCCTGAAGCAGGGGGGAGGAGGATATATTGGATGAATACTATCATCAAATCATGTCCTTCTACATCGATGTTAATATTTCAATTAATATTCATTATTCCTTTTTATTTCAAGATTGTTTTAAGTAGGTACAAATTATATTAAACTCTTATTGCTCATAATTTTTTAAAAAGCAGTTACTGAAATACGCATATTTTTCGAAATTTTTTTTCATAACTTTTTAATAGACAGTTACTGTCAATTAAAACCTTCTGAAGGTCACTCAGAATTATGACCTTGACAATATATATCAAGATCAAGGTCATCGGCACGGTGTCCCTTAATTTGTATAATTATCATGGTTTCAAATACAATTTATTAATTACAACTGTAGTCCGACCAAAACTTTTACCGAAAAGGAACACTTACGTGTCAGTTTCAACTAAAACCATCTAGCTCTTTTTCATAAATATTAATTTTAATATGTATAATTATTGTTTCAATAATTAAATTATGTTTATGAAGAAGAAAAACTTATATTCTGTGACCAAAATTGACACACAACCGAAATTTAATTATTGTTTCAATAAATTATGATATTTATGAAGAAAAAGTCTATAATATATGTATAAGTATTTATATATGTGGCCTTTATAAAATTCTTATTTTTTAAATTTTAGTTTTTTTTGGTTTTGATTGAAATTGACATGTGCGCTATAAAATAATTTCGTAAATTTATACATATAATAAATATAAAAATTACGTGATTAGTCCTGTAAATATAAAAAATTATGCAATTTTATAGAAACTGTAATTCCACAAAAAAATTATGTTTGTTTTTATTGTGTATATATATATCTTATTTTATATGGAAAATCACGTAAAGAGAAGGATATTTTGAACATTTTTTGTAATTATCCAAATTTTAGTAATATTACGTAGTATAACAATAATTTTTCGCATATTTCTATGGTATGTATAATAACATAACATATAGTGAAATATTTTCATATTATCGTTCCTATAACTACACATTGTAATTGTACTTCCACAATCTGCTTAGTTATAAATCAAGAAATTATTTTTATTGGCATATTGCAAATTTACAAACGCGAGAATGTTGTACAACTATTATAGTGGATCTCAAAATTAATAGTTGTAACTTTGCAAAAATTTTTTACATTGCCGAGTGATTCAATTCAGTTTCGACAAAAGTTTTGGTCGAACTCTAATTACAACATTACGCGTTGCATATTTTATAATTTTTGGAAATATAGAATATCAAATAGTATATACAATATATAGGATTTGAACCTACGACTTCTGAAGTGGTAACCTAACACGCTAATGTTGAGCTATAATCACACGTTGACTGAAGAAAATATATACATAATAATACTGAATTTTTCCCGATTTTAGCAGCATAATTATGTAATATTGTAATCCATATGTAAAATTTCAGATTATATTAATTTCACATGTATTTTTGGAATTCCATTGAACATGGAATTTCATACAAAATGTCAAATATAAAGGCGAGCAGACTTAGCCTCTTTGCCTCGCCCATTTTTTTTAGCACATTAGATATACGAATTCTGATTGGCTATAATAATCACATAATAAATGTAAAATTCCATTTTTTTTGTAATTTTATGTTTTTCGATTTATATACGTTATAAAAATAGCGCTTAAATTTAATTACGAGTTATTTTTACATATATGATATAATACTTTCACATATATTTTAACATTGATATGTATTATCACTTTAAAAAATCTGGAAAAGAAAATTTTCAGTCATATTTACTCAGGAACCTTAAGAAGGAAACAAAAAATGTTAGAGCGAGAGAACTATAATAATTATATGTACAACTATATGCATAATTCAATGGAAATAAATTGAGATCGGATGACAGCAATGATAACATGACAGCATATTAATAACAATATTAAAGTAAGAGATTCAAGAATGAAAATTGAATGAATTCAAAAGTACTTTAGAACTATAATAAAAAAATTTTTTTTAAATTATTTATTCATAATAAAAATTATTTATTCATAAAAAAAATTCTTTTATTGTAGTTTTTAAGTACTCTTAATGCCATTGAATTTTCATTCTGCAAATTTTTTTCTATCTCTTATAGTTCCGATGATATTTCTAATAATTATTTATTTGTAATAAAAATTATTTATTTATAAAAGAAAGTTTTTTATTGTAGTTCTAAAGTACTCTTAATGCCCTTCAATTTTCATTCAGAAAATTTTTTTTCTACCTCTTACAGTTTCAACGATATTCGCTTCGAAAGAGAAAACTGATTTTTTTTTAAAGGGTGTTGCACCCCTTAAAACTGCATGTAAGCACGTATAAAAAAAATACATGAGTAAGTATACTGGGCCGTTTCAAAATCACTATGTGTTAGTGCGTATACGTATACGCGTATATGTACTATATATGTGTGTGAGGGGTTCGAGAGTGAGAGAGTACGTTGCTAGAGTACTTGAAGTTCCAGGGAGAGGGTCTAACGTCACTAGACAAGGAGATCGAGGAAGAGGGGGGGATCGACGTTACTGGACGAGGGGACCGCAGGAGGGAGTGGCATGACCAGGACCCGCGGTAGAGGGAGACAGAATCTGCTGTTTATTCTCTTCCACACATTATAAAGTGCAATTCTCTCTCTCCAATTCGTTGTCCTATCCCTATACTTACTCATGCTCCCTCGCTTCCTTCCATTGCAGTTTCACCTACCTACATTATTCGCGCGCTCTTTTTTCTCCCGTTGTAGTCCTATATCTATCATCTTACTCATGCTCTCTCGCTTCCTCTCGTTGCAGTTCCATATCTACCATATATTATTCGCGCTCTCTCTTCTTCTCCCATTGTCGCCCTCGTCTTTCTTTTCGATTTTATTAAATAAGATGGATATATTATTATTATTATCTTAATATTATTAAGATGGGTATTTATCATATCATTTTAAAATCGTTGAATTTTAAAAATTATTACATTTAAAGTCTAGGTCATATCATTTTAAAATCGTTGAATAAAAACTCAACGATTTTAAAATGATATGACCTAGACTTTAAATGATATGACCTAGACTTTAAATGATATGACCTAGACTTTAAATGTAATAATTTTTAGTTATGTAATGAGCGCCTTCTTATCAACTAATTTAATATACGGGTTATGACGAAAGAATGATATAGAGACAAAAGAATAAATAATTTTTAACACAGAGTAATATAATTTTACATTTATTTTTTAATATTCACATTTTTTTACTTTATTCGTGTTACATATGGTATACAATTTGATCCAAAGCGTGTGCTACCAATTCACATTCTATAAGGGAACTTTTATCACAAATATTGTGCAACATATTTACAGCATTACGTTTAATAACACATTCTTGACATAAATATGAAATAAAACGTTTAAATTTCTCACTCGTGTTATACACATTCTGAGATAATCCAAAATATACATGCTCGACATAATGTTCGAGATCAAGCATAAAAAGCAAGATTGATGGCATTACATATAAAAATTTACTGCATAATGATAATTTTACTTTGTATGTATCATACAGTTTATAAAATTCCATTCCACATTCAGACCTTAGTTAGGGATAATGACGTAATTACAGACTGTAGGAGCGGCAATATATATCCTTGCGTCTGTCGATGAATGCCTTCCATGTTGCATGAGATAGGATTATTCGGTTATCTCAAGTATCACCAATTGCAATTTCCACATGGGATACAAGTCCTACGCTGATTCTTATGTCTAAATATTTATAAGCCGCAGACGTTAATGACTCTCTCTTTTTTAAGACGTAAGGAGTATAGTAAGAATTCTAATGAGAAGATACACTGTAAAAAAAAATAGAAAGTAAGCGATACGTGGGAAAAAATGTAATGTATAATATATAAAATGTATACACAACATTTTTTATGTAATTGAACAAACTGTCCCCCGTGTGTTTCATTCCGTTGAATCGGAACGTAATAATTCATAACTTGAGTTTTTCTTCTCGGAGAACTTAGTGATAGCTGTCGAATCCGTCTGAGAGACTGATGCGGTAATATTGTTCAAGATCTTCT